GATAATAAAAACAATTATAATAATTGTGATAATGATAAAAATAACTACTATTAATGATAATTATAATGACAATAGACAAACAAAAAACACAAAAACAGGTAATGAGGCAAATAAATAAATAAAACAAAAACAAAAAAAAACAGATAATGAGGCAAAAAAAATAGATAATAGACAAAACATGCTTTGAAACCAGAGCTAAAAAGGAGGATTGTGGGACTTGAAGATTATTCAGTTCATTAATTCTCGAAGGCACTGATTCACTCCGCAAAAGCCGGCACTATGCCATTACCCTTTCCCGAGAGTGCCGGACGCCTCGCAGACACCAGGGAGCCCAAAGTGCGTTATGAGCGATGGGAGTGCCTGGAACAAAGGATAGTAAAGGTCGGGGTATAAGAGAAAGGAGAAAGAAAAGTAGATAGAAGGAAGGCGATAAAGAGAGGAACAGATATAGAAGAGCGGAGATGGGAGGTGTAGAAAGGAAATAGTTGGGAAATGATAGAAGGAAGGCGATAAAGAGAGGAATGGACGTAGAAGAGCGAAGAAGGGGGGAATAGAAAGGAAATGGTTGGGAAATGATAGAAGGAAGGCGATAAAGAGAGGAACAGAAATAGAAGAGCGAAGAAGGGGGGGATAGAAAGGAAATGATTAGATGATAGAAGGAAGACGATAAAGAGAGGAACAGACGTAAAAGAGCGAATAGAAAGGGGGAATAGAAAGGAATAGAAAGAAAGGATTGAGAAAGAAAGGATTGAATAGAATAGAATATTGAAGAAAGAAAGGATTGAATAGAAAGGAAAGGATTGGGAGATGATAGAAGGAAGGCGATAAACAGAGGAACAGACGTAGAAGAGCGAAGAAGGGGGGGATAGAAAGGAAATGATTAGATGATAGAAGGAAGACGATAAAGAGAGGAACAGACGTAGAAGAACGGAGAAAAGAGGAGTAGATAGGAAATGGTTGAGAAATGAGGAAAATCGTTGACTCTCGATAAACGGGGAAAAAAAAGTTCTGATTCCAAGAATGAATACTGAAAAGGACAGGGTACAAAGTTCATGGCGGAAGAGGACCCTTGCGTAGGGAGGAAAAAGGGGAGGATAGATAAAAAAAAAAAAAGGAGAAGAAGAGAAAAAAAAGTCAAAAGATAGAGGTTTGGGACAATGAGAAAGGGAGGTTGGAGAAAGAACGAGTGAGGAAGTTCATGAAGAGAGGGAGGGATAAGGGGAAATAGAACGAGAAAGAAGAAGGGAGGGAAGTGGACGGGGGAGAGCGAAAGTGGAAGGGAGGGCAAAGGAGGGATGAAGGGAGGGTAGAGGAGGGGTGGAGGAGTGAATAAAGGGGGAAGGAGGGGGAGAACGAAGGTGGGAGAGAAGGCAAAGTAGGGGTGAAGAAAGGGATGAAGGAAGGATGAAAGAAGGGGTAAAGGAGGGGGAGAACGAAGGTGGGAGGGAAGGCAAAGGAGGGTTGAAGGAAGGAGTGAATGAAGGGTGAAGGAGAGGGAGAACGAAAATGGAAGGGAGGGCAAAGGAGAGCTGAAAGAAGGAGTGAATGAAGAACTGAAGGAAGGGGTGAAGGAAGGGGAAAGCGAAGGGGGGGGGGGCAGTGTCGTGATGCACTGTGCACCGCCCCGAGCCGCCGCATCCTCAGCCTTTGATGGGATTTTTAGCCAAGTTGACTTTTGTTGTCAAAATTCCGGACGGTGCGGCTGAAATTTCCTCCGCACGCAATGCATCTTAAAGTCTTGTTTGGGGGAAATGGGGTCCAGTTGTTGATAAAGGGGGAGAGATAGGGAAAAAAAAGAGAGATAAAAATGATGATAATGATAAAAGAAAACTGAGGTTGGGTTTCATGGAACGATTGTCATGTTTCTTTTTTTTTTTTTTTTTTCAAAAGTTTTCTGTGAAATTCGTTTGATCATGATATCATTTCTACCCACATGAGGAGAAAATGCATATTCATACAAATGAATTAATTAGAAACATTGAAGTATTAGACACACACACACAACACACACACACAAACACACACACACACATACACACACACACACACACACACACACACACACATACACACACACACACACACACACACACACACACACACACACACACACACACACACACACACATACACACACACACACACACACACACACACACACACACACACACACACACACACACACACACACACACACACACACACACACACACACACACACACACACACACACACACACACACACACACACACACACACACACACGCAACCAAACTGGCGGCGCTTCTGTGAATTTGTTCCGGATAAACTAAAGCTTAACCCAATTTCCTTAAAGGAACGGCGTTTGCACACAACCTTAAACCAAAAGAAAAAAAGAAAAAAAAAGAGAAGAAAACGAAGAAGATGAAGAAGAAGAAGAAGAAGAAGAAGAAGAAGAAGAAGAAGAAGAAGAAGAAGAAGAAGAAGAAGAAGAAAAGAAGAAGAAGAAGAAGAAGAAGAA